CAAATAGTCAATAGTCAGCCTTCGGCTTCATGGGCTATCAGCTCATAGTCCACTCGACCTTGAGATCTTATTGTTAAAGGGACACTGTCAATGGCACGCATGCGCGAGTAAACTTGAAAACATTAGGCTAGTGTTTTCAAGTTATGACTCCAAGTTGGCGCGACATAAATCAGCTCGTAAACGTAAACACATCTAGAATATTCCAAAGTGTGTCAAAAGCACCACAAAATGATTTACCTCAAAGGTAATACTTTCAAAGTCTGTTAGAGGTGAGACTGTTACTGCGCATGTCATCCATTGACAGTGTCCCTTTAAATATGATTTTTTCATCAGAAATTATTTTAAATTTAAATAATTTGCATGTAAGACAACTAGGAAAAGGTATTTCTATAGACAGCTTAAGTTCTGTTTCATGCAATCCTATTCTTAACAATTGRAGATTTATCCCTTCACATTTTCCATAAATGACTTCATGCTTGACAATGAATGATGGGTAATCAGGGCAAGATTACTAAGAGGCGATGGGGAAAGAGATCCTTTTTTTCACTATATTTCTGTTCTGAGGAAAGTTTGCGGGACCAAACTTTTGTAGTTGATAGGGATACCTCTATTCCATGTATTGTGATTTTCTTGAGCCAATTAAGCCACATATAAACACTGATTATCAGAAGGACGGAGGCAGTAGACTTGCGATAAGACTCGATGAAAATAGCTAAATTTCACCATTGAAAAAAATTGTGCCGCAGCAAAAATGACCTTATCGGCTCAAAAATAGCCACAAAACATTGAACAGYTGATTATCCATACAAGAATGAGTCTGGTTTTGGATGTTTAACTCAGAAGCGAAATATTGCAAGAAACGTATCTCTTTCCCCATCGCCTCTTAGCAATCTTTCCCTGATTACCCATGGTTCATCATCAAGCGTGAACTCRTCTATTCTTGGGAAAATTGTCTACCTTGTCTACCTTGTGTACCARTTTTGGATTAGAAAGTTAATCGCAATATTCCTAATTTACACCATTTAAACAACATGTTGAACATAAGAACAACATTAAGAATTACAGCAGGCAAAAAAACAAAATGAGTAGTCCCTTTGAACTTGCCTAGATATCTTTTGCATTCATGGTTTAGTAATTTTCTGAAATGTAAAGCCATGGCTACACAAGCAATTTTTCACTTGAAAGCTGAACATAAAATTTGTGCTGTTTATTTTGACAGGGCGTCAATCAATGTCATAGATAACATCCAATCATATCCTCATTTCATGCACATGCTCAACACAAAATTAATCRTCCTGTGGCAGAGATATTTTTCCTTTTCTTTGTAGAAGGAGATGAAAAAATCCTCTGCTCATAGGGTACATCGTGCRCTGGTGATTTTGAGAAAATTGCAACCTNTACAGTGGCCGCACTTTTACATGTTACGTAAGTTGTAATTTTATCAGCAATATTTCTCTCTCTGTCTATAGGGAAGACAGCTACGCTTAGAGGAGATGAAGAAACCCAAAAATGCTATGAAAATAGCCAGGAAATTAAGGCAATACCATGAGATGTGCTTACCTTTGTGTAAGGAGCCAAGATGGATGTGGGAATTTATGACAAAGTAAGCCACTGACAAATTTGTTTGAAAATAGACTGATTTCATAAGTCGGTACCGCTAAATCAATTTGATAGCAGTGCAGAGTTCACTCTGATTCTGAACAAAGTATTGTCTACAGGTTGTTAGAAGACATTGACAGCATTGCTAGTAATGATGGAGATATACGTGATATTTGTACAAAATATGATCTTCACAAASAACTTGATGATGTGAGGTAATTTTGATTTTTTGATTTTTATTTTATTTTTATTTTTTTTGCTAAAGAACTTAGAAGAAACAAAATGTATAATTCAGAATGTTATGCCAATAGTCACCTTTAGATATTTTGCTTCAGTGACTGTCTATATACAAAAGAACACACCAAGGCTCCTGGAAAACAATGGATAATCTTGATTTATTCTTTTATTTCCCCGAAGCCTCGTCTGCAATTATATTGTGCATGGTCACTGAACCAAAATATCTAAAGTCGGCTATTTTTTAATAGTTAAAACTGTTAGTTCATTGACTATAATCTGTAGACTTTTGTCATAAATCAGACTCACAAAAAATAAATTGAAAGGAATTTTATAAGATTGGTYGAAAAATAATGACAGAAAAAGTTATTTAAACGAGTGCAAAACGCTCGACATTATGATCAGAATTGTTTTCACTCTGCATGTTCATTGTTTTCAACCAAAAGAAATTTACACAGCATGTAGTCAGTATTGATTATATTATAAATTTCTTATATTTGTTTCAGAAAATATATTGAACCCCAACAATATCCTGTTGTTTTTTGCCACAATGATCTACAGGAAGGTACACATATTAACTGTTTACATGCACTTGCCATGCAATAATTATTGGGTTACGACAATTCCATATTCTATTAATAAAACAAAATTAAATAAATTAAATTGAGTTACTTTTAAATATTAAAAGAAGCATTAAGTAAATATTACATAATAATAAATTTTATAATATTTACGGAATTTCATATAAATAATAATTTACTTTAAGATAACCAATATTTTAATTTGTTGTATAAGTGTTATAGTGCACAGGTATAATGATTATTATTTTAATGGAGTTTCATTTATTTATTTATTTTGTTTTTGTTTTAAGGCAACATTCTTGTTATTCCACAACAAGCAGACAATGCAGGACAGGAACAGTATGATTTCCAGTTTATTGACTTTGAATACAGTGCTTATAACTACAGAGGATATGACATTGCCAACCATTTCTGTGAATGGATATTTGATTATACCAAGAAAGAGCCTCCATATTTTACGGCAAGTGCTCAAGATTTTCCATCTAAAAGTGAACAAGTAAGTCTTGCATGCTATCACCAGCATTGATGAAACACTAACACAGCAGAAGTTACTTGCTTTTTTAAACGTCAAAGTAAATACTTAATAATTAATAGTCAACTTTAGACATTTTGGTTGAGTGACCATGTACAAAAGAATGCACACGATGCTCCGGGGAAACATTGGATAGTTAATGTATCATTGTACATATATAGCCTTATCTACATTTCTTTTGTGCAATGTCACAGAACCATAATATCTGAAGTTAGTCATTGAATACCTGTGTTTTSATTGTCATTTTTTTTCCAATAGTTAATCTTTATCAAAGAGTATCTTGGTAAGTCAAAGAATTGCCACATCAGCATTGATGAGGAAGCKATCTTAGAAGAAGTTAAAAGGTTAGAAATCCATCCAATCCATACAACTATCAGAGTACTACATTTGACACTGTTTCAGGTGCTATCAATGGAGGATAGGTAGAAATACTGCAGGGCAGTGTGGAAACTAAAGATGTATTTATCAGATAAATGTTGCTTTTGTTGCTTTTCAAAATGAGTCCCATTCAGATATCTTTCTTCTTTATTGTCCTTTTTCATTTTAGTTTTTTTTAGTAATTTTAGCTATAAAATTTATTATGGCAAGAAAATTCGGCGTTTGGGTGCCATCAGACACTATTTTCAAGAGTATGCATGTACTTAACTAACATGTGTTTCTGCTTAGATTTACTATGTTATCTAACCTGTCATGGGGGATGTGGAGTATTGTTCAGACTAAAATGTCAACAATTCAATTTGGGTATTTGGTAAGTACATTGTTGCTCTCAAATACTAAATCAAAAGCGACCTAATACATCAAATATAACCATTTTTTAAGTCACGGGTGCTTCCTGCTTTGTTTTTGTATTTTGTGGCCCTGGGGTAAAAGTACCGGGGATGCTCGTCAGAAATTTTCAAAAAGACCATTACAAGATCCCGGATGTCATGAAAAAAGGGCGTGGCTGAATGATTTGGCACCCCCAAATATTGTTAAATTCAAAATTATTCAGTTCCAATGATAAAAACACAGAAACGCACTTCTTTTTCGACACCCTAAGAGATTGAAGAAAATTCAAAAAATTTCCAGAAACTCCGAATTGGCACCCTTAAAGATTTCCAATCACGAATTTTTACCCCTAAGAGATCTGACGAGCGTCCCCGGTACTTCCTCCAGAACGCAATCAAGATGAATCGAAGTGTTTACATGTCCGGTACCCTGACACAGTGTCACTATATGTCCAGGAGTGAAAATAATTTACCGAAATCACAGGAAAATGTAAATCCAGTTTATTCAAAGATACTTACATTGATTTTGAGTCTGAATTGTTTTTAATGTTTTTTT